GATAGAGTTTTGTAACGTCTATAAACTCTGCAAATTTTAGCAAAATCCGTTGAGAAATGAGCGAGATATGAGGCCTCAAAGTTGGCGTCTAGGAAAAAGAAGAAAAAAAAAAAGAATAATAATCTTAACCATCAGAATCAGTAGAAGGTCTTCCGTTGGAAACGGAAGACCTTAATTAGCTGTGCTAATTCACATAAAAAGGAGCCTCCTTCAGGCTGGTTATTGCAAAAGAAGTATATATTTCAGGCCATCTTTAAAAAAATTGTTTGGTTGCCCTCTCCCGACCGACTGGCTGAAAATGGCCCGACTCAAAAAAATTTTAACCTCCGAGAAGCAATTATTTTTTTTTATGCATTCAGGAAAATAGATTTTGAAAATTCAGCATTGATGTTGAAATTTCTGGGGGAAAAAATTTTTCTCACCTTCCTACCGACCCAATTTTTTTCATCCAGAGTCGGGAGAGGGCAAACAAACATTATTTTAAAGTTGGTCTCATCTTTTTATTTTTGAATTAAATTGATTTGGAGGTATTCACGGAAGTAGCGCTGTAATGACTGGCAGGTGGAGGCATGATAAAAAGAAACAGAAAAGTTGTATTACGTTTAACACTATTATACAACAAATATGTACCCAAATCTTTATCTGAATACTCAAATTCACGCATTAAACTTTTTACCGTTCGTAATTTTAAACATTTGTTTTCTTGAAAAAAAATAATAAAGATATTCTGTATTAGATATTAGATCTGTATGCAACATCACGTTATTGCTTTGCATAAAATATGGAGTGCACTTGTATATATGTAATCATCAAGTACATGTACATTAGTCATCGGAACTTACTCTCGATAGTCACTTGGCAGATGATGACATCGTGGAACAAGATGATTAACGAACACCTATGAACAAGGCCCGCTACATTTATAAAGACGAAAGAAACCAAAATATTTATTTAAATAAAATCTATTTTTAAGTCACCTAAGTCACTCAGGTGACCTATTTCGTCCGTCGTCGTGCGTTAACATTTGTACATTTTCAGCTTCTTTACTGCAACCGCTGAACCAATTTCGGCATAGAACATCTATGAGTAAAGGGGGACAAAAACTGTGAATTTCATGGTCCCTGTCCCTCTGGGGCCTTAGGGGTGGGGCAAAAACCATCAAAATACGTGCAATCTTTAAAAATCTTCTTCTTTACGCCTGGACCTCAAGCAGTCAGACTGTTGGTATGATTGTAATAAGCATTGAGCCATCTACCAAAATTATCAAATTCATTGCCCCAGGGTCAGGGGTTCTGGAGTTAGGGTGGGGCTCTATTGATCATAAAGTGAAAACGCATAAATTCTTTAAAAATCTTCTTCTCTCTCCCCCCCCCCCCTTATGAAGCAGATAAACTAGTTTATAGTTATGATAATCAAGGGTGACTCTTCCAAAATTATGAAATTTGTGATCCCAGGATGAGGGGTTCTGTGGGAAGGGGTGGGGTTGTATTGATTATATAGTGAAAGTGTATTATTTCTTTGAAAATCTTCTTTGCCTCTAGGTATTTGGCAGATAAACCAGGTATATAAATATGACGAGCAAGGGCGCCTCTTCCAAAATTGTGAATATCTTGGCCCCTTGGTCACGGGTTCTGGTGTTAGGGCGGGGCTCTATCGATTATATAGTGAAAATGCATAAATTCTCAAAAAAATCTTCTCTCCCCCTGTATTTAGAGCAGATAAACTAATTGCATGGATATGATTATTATTAATATTATTTTTTCAAAATCTTCTTCTCTGCCCCTGCGTATTTTACAGAAAAACTAAAAGTAATGATGAGCAAGGTTGTCTTTTCAAAAGGTGTGAAATTCATAACCCCGGTGTCAGGGGTTTTGGTGTTAGGGTGAGGCTCTTTTGAATATATAGTAGAAATGCATTATTTCTTTGAAAATCTTTTCTGTCTAATGTTATTAAGGAAACATACTATGTGCATTGCTATGATGAGCAAGGGCACCTCTTCCAAAATTGTGAATATCTTGGTCCCTGGGTCAGAGGCTCTGGTATTACGGTAGGGCTATATTGAATCTATAGTGAAAATGGATTATTTCTTTGAAAATCTTCTTCTCTGCTCCTTGGCATCTAGGAGGCAACGGAGTATATAAAAAGTTGTAATAAACAAGGGTGTTTTAAGCAGATTTTGAAATTCTCTACCTTTTGGTCAATTTATTAATTCCTACTGAAAGAATTTATTCCCCTTTGCGATAGTTACTCACTTTAAATAATGTAACTGTAAAGGTCAATTGGATAACAGAATTACACAAGATTTTTTTATAATATTTAATACAAAAAGTATAGTACTGTCATAGTTTTTAATGGTCAGGTAGACTTTTAAATGACAGTTAAATGAAAATGGGACAAAAATACTGTATCTTTATACATTAAATAATCTTCAAAAACTAAGGGAGTCCATTGTGGGGGGGGAGGGGGTGAAATGTGTTAACTAATAGTGCTCTAGAACTATTGCTTTGTTTAAGCCACATGGCGATAGTTACAAATGGGAGAAAGTACAAGCAAATAAATATATCAAATTTAAGTTTTGTTACCGAGTACTAATTTAATATTTTGCTGATCCCAGATCATCATATTTCTCTTCCTATTGGGCAACATAGCTTCATTTATCATCGTTTTTGTTTTAAATCTATGGATCGTAACATTATACTCAGGTGACCGTTATGGCCCTTGAGCCTCTTGTTTTAAAAAAAATCATCACAATATTCTCTCCTCTAAAAAGTACAAATTGCTTATCAATATTTACTTTACTGCCCGTATCTATTTCAATGATTAAGCCACTATAATTGCATAATATTCCTATACACGAAACATGAAATATAAACATTTGAGGGATTCATAATAGAGTCCCGAATTAACTGTTTAAACTTTTACAGCATTCCAGAATTGTAATTGAAATAAAGATTCCAACAGTCTTCTAAAGGTCAACGATGACGTTATGTAATAGAATATCTTTATTGTCAGAACAGGTAATACAACTAAGATGTATTACATCATTACCACCACACGCTCAGATCTTCAAAGCTTATTCTCAAGGGTGCATTTGAAATAAACTCTCGATTTTTATGTGAGAGATTGTAAAGATTACATATCCTCCTAGAAAATTTTAATGAAATATACAGTATTTAATTAAAGGAGGGAAAAAAACACATATGAAGTTATTTTTCACCCGTATCTTCTCAAACGCACCAAATAAATCTCAATGAAGTCAATATTAAATGATGCTCTGGAAAAAAAAGAAAATTATAAACGATCATTTATTTGCCATATTCAACAAAAAATTGAGACATCCTATATATTGGACATTGGGGAGCTTTTAATACATTTTAATATACTTATTTCATCTATGTTTGATTTAACTGTCAAATAATGACATTTAACTTTCCTTCTTTTACAACTGCATGGTTACAGACGTCCGATATTTACCTACACACTAGACATTAAACCGCACGGATGAAGAAGGTTGTGAATCATTTAATCTCATGTTATATTTAAGATAAAGGAATCTTTTTCAAGCATTTTTAAAAATAAAAACAAAACCATAATTATTATTCGGCGGTTTTTCTTCTGGTTTTTTTCTTCTTCTGAGGAGGAGGAGGAATTTCAAGTTGTATAAATATTATATGCAAAAATTATACAGACGTATAAATCATACAAAAGATTTTTTTTAATGTATAATACAAAAAGTACTTTCATAGTTTGTAATAGTCAGGTAGACTTGTGAATAATGAATGGATAAAAATGAGACAAAAATACTTTACTTATGTACATTTATTTAATTATGATTCAAAGACCACGGGACTAGTTAATTATAATTATAATGGATTCCATATATTGTGTGAATACTGTGTGTTATGATAAAGTACTATTTTCTTGTAACTAATGATAATGATGGAGTGTAGATTGCACTGGCATATATACATATACAGGCAAGTTGATTACAGACGTACTCTTTTTTATTGATCATCTAAAACTCTCGTTTTTCAAGTTTCAAGTTAATTTAGAACGATTTACCATTCCACGAATCCTTTACAAGGTTATACTCTGTTGACCGTTAAGGCCCTTGGGCCTCTTGTTTAATGACCCCACCATATTTTTGCCTTTTCTTGACTATCTTCCTTTAGAATGGGACTCGGCCTTTCATTTGAACAATTAGAAATCCCCTTAACCAAAAATTCTTTGTGCTTACTTTCCTTAAAAATTGGCCCGGTGGTTCTAAAGAAGAAGTCGAAAATTTGACAATTACAGATAGAGACACACAGCTAGACGGACGCCGGCCAACCGATGGTTAGAAAAGGTCACTTGAGATTTCAGCTCAGGTGAGCTAAAAACACAGTCAAAATCTTTCTCTTAAAGAATTAAGGCATTTTCACTATACATGTAAATCATTAGAGCCCCGCCCTAACCCCAGAACCCCTGTCCCAGGGGCTATGAAATTCACAATTTTGGAAGAAGCACTCTTCCTCATCATAACTATGCATTTAGTTTGTTTGCTTAATACCCAGGAGCAGAGAAGAAGATTTTTTTAAGAAATAATGCATTTTTTCTATATATTCAACAGGACATCTCTTCAGATAGTTTAGTCTTTTGGATGTTGCTGACAAACAAGATGAACCAAGCCTGGTCTCTTGTTCGTTGAATTTCCTGAGTTTTACTAGTTTTTACCTTAGTAATGTAAATTATACAGTCTACGACACAGTGTTACTGTACTGTATAACGAAGTCTATACAAGTCACTGTCCACTAAAAATCCAGACCAAATGATGAATTTCTAATTTAATTTACCTATATTGTACATCAAGCATTAAATTAAGACAATAACGTAATCAATTTCTGCTAAAATAATTATGATAGGGTGACAGATAACCAAGGGATATTTAATCATTAAACAATTCATCATCTAATCCAATGCTTACAAGAAGACACATAATGAAATTATATAAACATAGCTACGTTCATACGTATAGATGAATGATTTAATTAAATAAAATTAAACACTCCGTGTATATGAAAATAATTCAGATTTCGAAATTTAATTTTGGCATTTATACGTATATACATTAAAATAAAAACTCGAAAGCAACTGATCCTTTTTTTTTCCAACACACCAATACTGATACAAAACACTCAAAGGTGCTTGTGGAGAGGACCCCTCCCAATTAGAAACCCTGCATGGAATTTTTTGTTTCCTCATACATTATATCTAGAATGAGTCCATATGAAAAATCCCAACATACTGTGGAATCATCATTGTTCGTGGGGGACCAATGTTCGTGGATTTCGTGGGTCACACTTACCCACGAAATTACGTCCCCACGAACAAGTAAAATTTTGCTTGCCCACGAACATTGACCCCCACGAATTAAAATGATTCCACAGTAACCTATTCAAAAGTATATTCTTATGTACATGTATTTATATGATAGATACCGTGAGCACTGACGTGTACCTAGAAAAACTGCAAAATTATAAGGAAATACAGTCACGTAACTAAATCTACTTTACATATTTTTCATTTTTCACTCGCATCGAATTAATATACGTACACTTACACTTTCATATTAATTTTGGCACTCAGCTTAAAAAAATCATTAACATTGAAATATTTTACACTGGCTGAAAATATAATTATCCTTTACTGCTATGGATTTGTTTCGTCACCTGTTCCGTGTTTGTTTCACGTATGCTGTCAATGTCATCTCCGTTTAATTTGTTTGCAAATTCTTCAGAAACAACACTAATTGCGTCAGCAGTTTTGTTATTAATGTCGTCTTTGGCTTCAATTTGAATCTTTTGATCGTTGTTATCAATTGAAACTGAAAAGGAGGCAGATGGTAGTCTCTTCTTTGAAGCCTTAAAAGGTGCGAAAACCGCATAAGTTATTACATATCTGATGATACCCCGAAATCTCTCATCAGAAAGGCCATAAATGAAAGGGTTAGCGACATTGTTTATGTAAACAGTCCAGTAGAAGAAATAAAAAACATTATGAGTTGTGGAACTCATCCTGCACTCTAAATATTCATCAAAATGAAACACAAGACCACCAACAATGTGTGGAAGGGTAGTCAAAATATACACAGTAGTGATCATTAAGAAAGTTAAGGTTGTTTTCCGTGTATGCAAGTTTGAGGTTCGACGACCAAAGGTGTCGTTGTTATTTGATTTCGATTTTTGATTAAAGCTTTTAGAATGAGTCTGCACTTTCCTCATGATAAAATAATATAGAATTGTTAAGGTTGCACTTATTGTCAGAAACATCATGGCGAGAATAATATAAAATCCCTTTGAAAGAAAGTTAGCGATAGGATTTGTAGCAAGGTAACACTTGTACCCTTTCTCTCCGCTGGAAGAAAGAGGCAATTTGTTAAGTTCGTACAAAAATGGAGTAAACCATGTTGAAAGTATGGATATCACTATAATCACAACAACACTGCGTTTGGCATTTTTTATATTAATCTGTTTCTTCAGGGGGCAACATATTTTTCTATATCTGTCAAACGCAATGAGCACCAGTCCTCCTGCACCTGTCACAGACAACACAAAACTCACAAACAGTCCACCACGACAAAATACATCCGAGGGAAAAGTTAGGGGGCGTAACATGTACACTAAACACCAAGGTATTCCGATGATGCAGTTCCCTGTATCCAACAGGGCAAGAAACAGCACGTAAAAGCGGTAATTGGTTCCTCGCTTGAACTTCAGTCCGTATGTTAGTAAAACAGTCACATTTCCAAAGACCCCAATAACTAAAAGAATGGCTAGAAAAATAACTCCAGACCAATTTCGATCCATCAGCTCAGCATTGATGTTTTCTACTGAAAGATTGCTTGGGTCGCGGTCTTTTAGTATCCCTTTAAAGCAATCCAAAGACCTCATGGCTAAAATGAAGTTTCAATTTGAATTCATCTAAGAATAAAGTAAAGTTGTTGACTTTTCATCGAGAAAATACGTACATGTTACTGCAAAGCATCAAATATCCTTAGTGAAAGACGTTACCATTAATGTACACCGGGGTTAAACCACAACGGGATATTACTTCCGATTACGAAAAGATTCAATGAGAAATCACGCGTCTATATCCGTGTACGTGTATATTGGAGGGTACTTCAAATAACCGGTGGTCTGAATTTGATCCTTTTTTTAAAATTTCAAATTGAAACCGGATACAGGTTGCTAGCTAGTTTTAGAAGTATCCTGAAGTTTGTGTACATAATATTTTGGTTAAAAAATTATGCTTCTATCATTCCATCTCATATGACCAACGAGGCATAACATGAACTTAGTATGACCCCGGTTATGACCAAATAGAACTGACTAACAAAATCATAATTTTAACGTGAATCAAAGGTGAATAATTTACATTGTTTGATGTATTCATAGCTGATAGCAGTTTGAACCTTGTTTATTTTTCATTTGTATTAAATGTCTACAGTTTTAAGGTAGTTCTTTACTTAAACAAATGCTTGGATAAAGGGGTTAGTTTGTAACATACACTGTACTTTAAGTGTGGATATTGTTCCATAAAATTTTCAGAAAATTAAGAAAATAATCAGAGAGAGAGAGAGAGATGAAAATAGCATGCTGTATCATTATATTTCATTGTTTTTATAGTATATGTGTATTGTTTGTAAAATTGTGATTTGATTCTTTTAGAGAATAGACTCGTCAGAACATGTTAGACTATGAAATTTATTCTCAATAAATATTTTTTAATCGACCCATTCTCGATTTTCATTCTGATAGAAGTCACAATTCTCGAAATCCTCAGATCTACGAAGAATGTGGCGTCGGAGGAAAATGCTGCAAACTTCACTGATCTTAAGCCAAAGTCAGGTAGAAGCAACGGCATGGTCCAGCTTACGAAAATATACAAGTACTTGGAGAAAACATAGAATAGCTTTTTAACAAGAGGCGCAAGGGCCTTAACGGTCACCTGAGTAAAATACAATACTGTAAAGGATCCACAGAAGTATAAAACAAAATTAACTGATAATTGAAGCTATTTTGCCCAAGAATTTCAAAAATCTGGTAAAATTACCCTTACTTATTGATATAGGTGAGACCCGACTGATCTCCTTGGGAGGATGGTTTGTCCTAGTCTTACAGGGATGATATGATGAATGCAAAATATACAAATACAATCGACACTTGCCTAGTGTGTAAGGTATTCAATATGTACAGATATTGTTTTTTTTTTCACTTGTCTAGTGCTACAATTAAGTACACAGAGAAATCTCTAAAGCCTGTATATTTACTTGAGGTGATGCCTCTTGGCTACACAAACAACTTAGCTGCTTGTCACTTGGTAACACTTGGTACCAACAATTTTATATTGCCTCTTGGCTATACAATAAACTTAGTAATACTTGCTACCAGCACTCGCAACTTCAAGCAGACTCTAGCAATCTAAACTCTAATCTCCATGAATTTAACTGACCATAACTCTTTCTATCATCAAACAGGACACCCCAGTGTACACATACTAAGTACAACTGGTCCTTTGCTAGATAAATAATCTTTATGTCAATCTTTTATATTGCTTGCCAAGCAAGAATTTGACTTTGAGCATACTTTGCTCGTTTAAACCAAACATTTATTTTTATTCAACATACTGTATATAATTCTTTCTTGTATTCTCATTCAATCAAATAACCTGTTCATTAAATTAAACAGAAGAATTTCTGATTAAACACAATTTAGCAAACGGAAGTAACTCTCATTTTCTTCACTTAGTACAATTTTGTACTCTGCCTCCTATATAACCAGCATATTTAAGCATATTTACTTATATTTATATTTAAACATTTATATTATTGCATTTAGTCTGTTTGCTTAATTGAGAAGATTTTCAAAGTATTAAATGCATTTCTGCTGTTTACTCAATAAAGCCCTGTCCAAATACCAGAACCCCTGACTGAGGGGCCATGAAATTCCCAATTTCGGAAGAGGCAACCTTGCTTATCATAACTATGCATTTAGATTGTTTGCTTAATATCCAGGAGCAAAAGAACATTATTTTATTTTCAGTATGTATTAAATACCCCCCTCCACCATCCACAGAACCCCTGACCCACGGGCCACATCATTCACAATTTTGGGAGAGGCATCCTTCCTCATCATGATTATGCATTTAGTTTGTTTCCTTAATACCCATGACCAGAGGAGAAGATTTTCGAAGAATTAATGCATTTCACTATCCCCGCCCTAACACCAGAACCCCTGACCCAGGGGCCATGAAATTCACAAATTTGGAAGAGGCACTCTTCTTCGCCATAACTATGTACTTAGTTCATCAGCTTAATACCCAGGAGCAGGGAAGATTTTCAAAGAATTAATGTATTTTCACTATAATAAAAATAATTAGAGCCCGCCCTAACTGCAGAACCCCTGAACCAGGGGTCATGAAATTCACAATATTAGAAGAGGCACTCTTCCTCACCATAATTATTTATTTAGTTCATCAACTTAATACCCAGGAGCAGAGAAGATTTTCAAAGAATTAATGCATTTTCACTATATAACCATTAGAGCCCCGCCCTAACACCAGAACCCCTGAACCAGGGGCCATTAAATTCACAATATTGAAAGAGGCATCCGTCCCCATCATAACTATGCATTTAATTTGTTTCATTAATACCCAGGAGCAGAAATGAAGATTTTCAAAGAATTAATGCATTTTCACAATATAATCATTAGAGTCCCGCCCTAACTTCAGAACCCCTGACCCAGGGGCCATGAAATTCACAATTTTGGAAGAGGCACCCTTTCACATCATAACTATGTACATGTATTTAATTTGTTTCCTTAATACCCAGGATCAGAGGAGAAGATTTTTTTAAAGAAATAATGTATTTTCATTATATGTTCAACAGAGCCCCACCCTAGCACCAGGACCCCTGATCCAGGGGCCATGAATTTGATAATTTTGCTAGAGGACTCAATGCTTATTACAATCATGCCAGCAGTTTAACTGCTTGATGTCCAGGAGTAAAGAAGAAGATTTTTAAAGATTGCATTTATTTTCATGGTTTTAGCCCCACCCCTCAGGCCCCAGGAGGGCAGGGACCATGAAATTCATAATTTTTGTTCCCCTCCACCCATAGATGCTATATGCCAAAATTGGTTGAAATTTGTTCAGTGGTTCCAGAGCAGCAGCTGAAAATGTACAAATGTTAACACACGACGCACAACGCACGACGGACGACGACGGACGAAAAGAGATAGCAATAGGTCACATGAGTAAACTCAGGTGACCTAGAAATGTAAATGTATGTACGCAACCAGAGGTTAGAGAAATTTAAAGATGAGTTTTGATAGCTGCTTTCAGAACTTTAATGAATTAAACTGGAGTGCGAAACACAGACAACGAGAGGAGATGCTCGATGTTGAAGGTTCTATAGTTAGCAACTCATGTCGTTCCAAAAACCTGTTGCGTCGATCGTCACGATCTAAACTGCAAAACGTTCTGAGGATATTAGAGGATACTTGAAGAAAATCAGGAACGATTTGAGTTCGTTCAGCTGTCAGATCTCAATATCCCATAGATCGACACAGATGATATCATGCTTTTGATTAGAAGTATACGTGCTTGTGATGTCAACCAGTCATACGCAATCCTCATTCACTTGGGATGGATAGTTCTTGGAACAGTAGTAACTAAAGAATGAACTCAACTCATATACAGTCTGAGAACACTGAGGAAGTACTTCTACTCAAACAATTAGAAAAACTATGAAACACTGATTTCAGTGATAGAACATCAGCCACAAACCTGTATGTTGAATATAAACGAACTCTTTCTAATCTACAAGTACATGTAAGTACGAGGATGATCACTATAAACTCGAACTACCTTGGAAAGATAAAGATGCACGTTTACCAAACAACCTTCCCCATCCACAGATTAGATTACAAAAGATTGTCACTTGATCCAAATCTACACGAAATGTACTAAAGGACAGTAAATGATTAAATTGAAAAAGGATACACCCCAGAAGTCACCAAAAGCAAAATGAATCCAAAGCATGCTTTCTGTCTACCTCATCACCCTGTGGTTAACGAACATAAACTTGGCAAAGTACCACCTGTGGTGTTTTACTGCGCAGCTACATATCAAGGCAATTTTTTTCATCAGCGGACGTTGCAGGGACCAGATTTGATGAATAGCTTGGTGTACATATACGATTAAAGAGAACAAAATCGCCGTTGCAGCAGACGGATGAAGTTGTTACAAAACTTCTAACAGATCTACAATCGTTGATGGCAATGGCGAATTTCGACTTACAAAATGGCTAAGTAATAGTAAGGTCATGCTTCGTTTTAAAACAGGAAGAAACGAGCCCCGACTGAAAAAGCACTAGGAATAGATTCTAAAAATTTACCAGGAGACCGCGCACTTGGAGTTCGGTAGAATGTAGAAAACGATTCACTTGGATTCAAAGTGAAGATTGAGGAGAAGCCACCCACAAGGCGAGGCACAGTGTCGACTATTAGCGCAATATATGATACGTTAGGATTGTTACCACCTATTACACTTCACGCAAAAGCGTTGGTACAAAGACTTTGTCGACTAGACATAGGGTGTAATGATGAAATGCCGGAAAAGATCACACAAGAATGGCAAAGCTGGCGAAGCACTTTACCCTTCATCGAGAACATATCAGTTAAACGATGTTTTGTATCAAACCATTTAGAGAACATCAAAAATTTTCATCTACACATCTTTTGTGATGGGTCTGAAAAGGGACATGGTGCCTATGCATATCTACGAGTCGCGGATGTAATAGGCAGTGTGAATGATTCACCTTTACCAGGGAAATCTAGATTAGCACCTCTCAAACAACAGAGTATACTACGCTTAGAACCATCGGAAGCTGTAGTTAATTGTCGTCTGTATGGAATGATATCAGAGGAATTGGAAATTCTAATCAACCAGGCATACTTTTGGACGGATTCTACACGTGTTTGGGGGTATATAAGGAACGAATCACGCCATTTTAAGACGTCTCAGCGAAATCTACGAGACTACCCCTGACCGGTGGCATCATGTAGATTCTCAATCAAATCCAGCTAAAA